TCACAGCAGCAGCGGTTTGATTTCAGTAGCCCCAGGGGGCAAGACAAAAACCTGGTACTAAAAGTGGGGGCTGCTGCCACAAAGACATACACTGTGGAGCAGCTGCGGCTGGGGACCAGGCAGACCCTGGGAGGGGCTGCGAGTGCACCTGAGAACAGGCCTACACTGCCAGGAACGCCTGTCAAAGGCGACTCTGCCAAGGGTCGTGATGTCGTGATGTGGACAGACGACTCCTGTGAAGAGCTGTGTAGCTGGTGTCCTGCAGGTGTCCGGAAAGAGCAGGGAGGGCTGGAGAGCCTGCCAGTCAAAGAGGACATCTAGCTGATGCCCCCGGGACCTGGTTGGTGATGGCCACTCTGAGGAGACCTCAGACGATGGTGCAGATGATGCTGCAGCGCAGAAGCAGAAAGGCACCTGGCCATGGCATGGCAAGACCACAGCTGGTGTGTGCTCACGTGCCAGTGCTCCCTGGGAAGTTGAGCCTGTGAGCAGCCAGCTGGAAATTCGGCAGAGGAGAACATCCACACAGGGTTGAAGGTGCGGCTTGGTTTCTCTGGACCTCTTAGAGCAAGATGAGAGAATGATATAAAGACAGAATGTAACCAAAAGAAACGCAGAACATAAAAAAATCTGTCACTCAGCCTATCCACAGTGAAAAGAAGAACACAGAGGATGTGACCAGGTGACTCAGGTGTGTCACTCAGTCACCTCAACAGAAGCCCAGGACTCCCTGTCCCAAATGACGAATGACCCAAGGGCACTTCAGAAGTCATCAAGGATGGCCCTCACCTCACAGGCCCAAAGTGCAGGAGCCTGGCGCAGATCAGAAAGCCATACTGGGGCAGGGACCATGGAGCCACCAGTGTGACAAGATGGCTCCTGCTCAGAAGAACACAGGCACTTTAGGGGCTGAATCTCTGCCTTGTGGAGCTGCAGGGTGCTGGGTCTGGAAAGAGGCCCCCACCTTCATAGCTCTGAAATGGGGGCCCATTCTGGTGGATCTGGAAGGAGAGCATCAAGCCAAGAAAGGCTATTCTCCAGCCTTGGCTGCTCAGCTGGGTTCTGGACTTGCTTGGGATGAGGATCTTTTTCTTACTCTTCCCTGTAGGAATGGGAACATTTATCTCATGCCTATCCCACCACTGTATTTCAGAAGCCCAGAACCAGACCCTTAGCTGGAGAGCATCTGCCTTGTGATCAATGGAACCCTGAGTCTTGCCCACATTGAGGCAGACAGGTAGTGAGACTTGGGACCAAAGACTTTTGAGTTGACGTCAGAAAGATCTGAGCTACGGGAATGCAATGAATTGATTTGGCAAAAAAAAAGAAGAAGATATGGCCTTGGGAGAGCCGGGCATGGAATACCATGGCCTGAATGTCTGTGTCCCCAAATTCACATGCTGAACTCCTAATCCATGATGTGATGCTGGGGGGGGGGGGAGCTGTGAGAGGGGCTTAGGACTAGTGCTATTGAGAAAGAGGCCCTGAAACTCCCTCACCCCTTCTACTGCTGACACTATAGAGAAAGCACAGCAGACTCAGAAGCAGCCCTCGCCAGACAAAGAACCTGCCAGAGCCTCCATGGCAGACCCGCACCTCCCGAGAGACATACCCCTGTTGCCCACAGCCCTTGCCCGTGGCACTTTGTTTGCTGTGGCAGCCTGAGGGGCTTAGGCCGTCCTGCAGGTGAGCAGACTCCTGCCGGGGAGCCACAAGGCCCTGTCCCAAGCACTGGGTGAGGAATGCACATCTGCTTTTGCACAGCAGATCCAAGCCCTGAAGGGCAGGGCAGCCCCCCCAGCCTCCCTGCACTGAAGGAGGCCTGGCCCCAGCAAACGTGCAGCTGATGAGGTGAAAGATGGACGAGTTCCCTGGAAGCCAAAGATTCGATTGCTTCCCCTCTGCTTTGGAAATCATCTGACGGTCCCCCAGGGCCCACGGTGTCCCAGACTTCAACCCAGAGCAGAGCTACAAGGAAGTGCTGTGGAACCTCTGGGAGGCAAAGAAGGGGAGGGCTTAGCACAGTGGGGATTCGCCCTGGAAGGCAGACTTGGTGGCCTCTTTAGAGTTCCCACAGAGAAGCCCCTCATTCTCTCTCTCTGCTCCTTGTTCAAGACATGATCACTTCTTGCTCCCAATGTGCACTCCCACCACTGTCACCTGCCAGGTGGTATGAATATGCTTTTTCTCTTTATAAGTTAGTTACCTCCAGTGTTTTGTTATAGCAATGAAAAGCTAACACTTCCCCTCACCCTTTCTTCTGCTTGGGGAAGATGGGATTTTCAATGTTGAGCACAACTCAGCAAAGGCCACACGAAGGTCCCCGATGGAGAAGGGGAGTGCCAGGAGAGACTGGGACCAGGCCTGGGAAGAGAGGGGGCCCAACCCTACGTGAGTGGAGCTGACTGATGCCTAGGTGTGTAAGGTGCATCCCACTGCGGCAGCTGCTACCACTGCCTTGCCACCTCCCCCCCGAACTGGCCCCGAGAACCAAAGGACATGAGCCGTCTGTGCAGACTGAGCATGCACCTGACCACAGAAGAGAACTGACTTCCTGGCCCTAAACCTTGGGGATGGGTATCTCCAGCAGGGGCTCACAACAGAGTCCTTGGGGGTTAGTGGGCACCCCCAGTAGTGGGGACCCTGAGGACAGTGCCCAAGATGACAATCCAGGCAGACCTAATGTCAGCCTCTCATCTGCCAACCACTCTTCACCCCACAGGGACAGCAAGGAGCAGGGGGCACCCGCCTGGGCTAGACCCTGCAGTACCCACACTGTGCTGCCCTGGCTGAGAGGGGTCCTCATCCATTGACCTTGGCACCCCTGCAGCCTGACGCGGGGCTCACCCCATAGCAAGCTCTCTAACCATTAATATTTACTGAATGAATATTTTATGAATGACTAAAACAACATGTGAGTTGCGAGCTTTTGGAAATGAGAAGTTCAGCAAAACGCTTAATAAAGCAGCAGCCTGAAGCACAAAACCAAATCGCAATTATTTGCGACTGAGGTTGCTAATATTATTCAGCCTTCCTCGCTGCCAAGAATGAGTAAGCTACACCACAGCACACGCTTGGCAATGCACACTTCTTAAAGCGTTTTATATTGGTGTCATAAGAAGACCAGATTTATGTTCTCTGGGATCTTGAGCTACAGCAAGACCTCTAGACAAAGAGGACAGGGGCAGAGGGTTCCCCTCACAGCTAAGGAGCAGGGCAGCAGCTGGCACCACTGCCTCAGAAGGCTCTGTCCTCCTCCTGGCAGCCTCCGGCACATTTGCCAGCAGAGCACAGGAGCCCGAGCAGGCACACACTGCACAGAAAGTCCTGCTGGGGGTAGGGAGAGCCAGGTGACACTGGGAGTACGCTGGGAGTGCGCTGGGAGGCGCTCCGCTCCTCTCAAAGGAGGCTCATAAATGCCCCCAGCCACTGGTCTCCAGCTTCCAGTTATCTCCCACAGGGCTGCAGGCCCTTGCTTTACACTCCTGTGTCATTAACAGTCATATTAAATACCAATATCCTGGAAGCCTCATCGTGAGGGCATCAGCATAGCGACGAGCCAGGTGCCATATTTACACAGTGAAATATTAACAGCAGTCAAATGAAAGAATCGGATTTGTCACTCCAAAGAGTAGTGCTTATTTTGATTTTCAAAAGGACATATATGATAAGGAACCCTTAGGCCATTTAAAAAAAAAAAACACTCAAAATAAGACTTGGCTCTGGGTATGTATATATACAATGAGAGTGGCAGAGCATCAGGCCGACCCACATCACCTCCTCGGCAGAGCTGCCCCCGGGGAAAGGAAGATGGCACCACGTGGATAGGAAGGGGTTCAGCTGTTATTCTTTTGCTTATTTTCCCAATATTTTCTTATTTAAATTATGCCCAATATAAAGCTGAACGCCTTGCACGCCCACTGGGCCAGACCTGCTTCCATGCGTATCTGTCCCTCCACCTTCCTCTCCAACCGGCATCAAATAAATGAGTTCTGCACTTCAAATACCATTGCAGAAACGCACCAGGCCCAGCCCCTTCAGCGTGTGGATCAGCAAACACTGAGGCACAGTGTCTGTTGACAGTCTTTCTTTGATGTGAATTGCATACAGGGAAACACACAGATGTCAGGGGAGCAAATGCTGAGAGACGCCAACCCTACGGAGCCACCCACCAGACCATCACCCAGGAAACCACCTTCTGCCCTTTAGGTCAGAGCCATCCCAGCCTCTGGAGGCTGCGCACGCCCAGCCTTTCCCGCCGCAGACTGGCCCTGCTGGCTCCAGGCTCCTTCACTACTCTGGATGCCCCTGAGGCTCACCCTCACTGAGCAGAGGAATAACTCCTCTGTTTTTGTTGGGGTACTACCCCATTCTTAGAAACATGTCACCGATTACTTTTCTTTCTGTAAGGGCACCAGTGCTCTTTCTAGTTTTTGGTCTAGAAACACTCTTGTAATGCTCTTTTGGTGACCATATGTTTGAGTTTTCTTGAGTAACTAACTAGGGCTGGAGAATCTGGGCAAGGGTCAGGGTTGGTTTTTTAAGAGCCGCAGCCAATTCTTCCAGCAGCTGCACTTCTTACAGCCTTCCAGTTGCTTCACGTCCTCGCCAACACCATTCTAACCGTGCTGAGGACTCGCGGTGGATCTGACTGTGCTCTAGATTTGCATTTCCCTGCTGACTAATAATGTTAACATGCCAGGTATTTTTTGCAAACATTTTCTTTCCTTAAAATAAGACAGAAGGGGGTGGGGAGGGAGAAATCTGGAGTAAATATAGCAAAATGCTTGTACTTATATTTCTTATTTTTCTGTATGTTTGAAATATTTTGCAATTAAAACCTAAAAATATTTTCCCTTCTCTAGGTGCACAGCCCTAATCCCCAGCCTGGGCCCAGAGACACAGCTTCTTGGTGTGAGAGCCCGCTGCTACTGCCACACTGCCACTTCAGGGCCATCCCTGGGCCCAGCCATGCTCCTGGCAGCAGGCAGAACACTCACCGCTGGCACTCGCCGGCATGCAGGGTGAGCTCCTCGTTGTTCCTGGCACCGATGGTCAGCTCGTGCTCCGTGGAGTTGAAGACGTCCAAAAGCAAGTGGCACTGCCGGGTACTGTGTTTAAAGACAAGAGAGAGTTCAGAATTTTCCAGAGCCCCTGAGGAGTGACCACCTCTCCTCCTCTCTGAGTAGGTACCACAAGGTGCAGACGTGCAGAAGTGTGATTTACCAAAGGCCCCTGGGTAGAGAGGATCACTGAGCCCTGTTCTGCATGGCTGAGCTCACTCATTCTAAAGTGAGTCTGGGTCTCAGGTCCTCAGTCATGCCTATGGCATACCACAGGCCTTGGAAGACGACTGGACGCACAGGAGGACCGGAGCAGCCCACACCAAAGGAAGATCCCCTGCGCTCGTGGCACACAGCGCCACTCAACAAGGGTTGTGTAAAGAGAGGAGCCCTTCAGCCCCCAGGCACCACGCCAGGTGCTGCACCCCGGAGCACGGAGAACTGGACCCCAGGAGTCTCTCCCCCAGGGGTAAGGGTTCCACCTTACCCTTCGCAGCTGTGGCAGCACCATAGGCTCACATGCCACCTGCTTGAAAGCTCTACTCACTGCACTGCTGCGGAGAGGGAAGGCTCCCTACTCAGGTCCCCATGGCTCCTCACAGCAGAAAGCAGTCTGTGTGGCAAAGCTCTAGCCAGGAGACATGGCTCCTGGGACCTGCTCTGAAAGAGAGCTTGTGTCCTTCAGCCACCCCCACCCCTATGCCTCCTCCCCAGAAGTAAGCTAGACACCTCAAAGCTCAGCAGCCCTTCAGGGACAAGGACAAAACCACAGCCTGCAGTGAGTGAGTGGGGTCAAAAGGGCCTGTGCCCGCACCGTGCTGAGCGGCGGCTGCAGCTCCCACTGCTCCTCCCTCTGGACTCTTCAGCGAGGCGGGCGAGCTATTTTTTAAAAGCCAACAATGCTTTTTGTGTGTGTCGGTCACTATTTGTTAGGTCCCCATCACAGCTGAATGCTTGCCTAAAACTACCACAGTTCTCCAAATACCAAGCATCATGGCGAGCACATGACAGGTAATCGATACGTGTTCGCTGGTCCAAGTAGCACAGCTGTACCCAGGATACCCAGGACTGGAGCTGACAGAGAAGAGGGCACAGGGCAGAGCTCATCCATCTTAGAGGAGGAGAGTGAACTGTCTTTATGGCGGGAGGGAAAGGCATGGAGACAGACCTGTTGTCTGGGTCATTTCTAGTTTACTGCGGCCACAGGGCATCTGAATTCTCATAGGTCTCCCCCAGGTGGGAAGCGAGGCCCTGCTGCTTTCTGGGAAAGCCAAGCCCACGGAAAGGGGAGGAGGACAGACCCTGCCATGTGCCCAGGCATCCCAACTCACCTAGGAGGCAGCTACTGCCCCTGTGCTCCCCTGAGGAAGGGAGGCCCAGGAGAGGACAGAGCAGTGGGGTGGTGCCCAAGGCTCCACCTTCACGGCTGCTGAGGACCTGGCTTCCTGGACCGCACCTGTCCTTGCTCCCTGTAGAGAGGGAAACCGAAGTGCACAGGGGTGCACCAGCACGTCCAGGGCCCCACACACCCACACACCCAGGCACTGTCCTGGCTGTGTGTGTGTGACCTCTCAAGAGGAAGGCAGAGGAACAACATCTTGTTTCTGGCACAGACAACCACACCGAACCAAGGTGGCAACACACACCTTCAGGTGACAGGTTCACACTGGGTGATCCAGGGTCAGGTTTGGCACTTAGAAAATACTCATGCGCTCCGAGGGGTGCCTACGAGGGGCTCTCCCTCTGCTCGCAGGAAAGTGACCTCCACGAAGCAAGGGTCTGTTCTGCCTTCGTCAGAACTTCATGAAACCCTTACACAGCAACATCTTTCCCTAGAAACGGGAACTTGTAAAACGTTTACCAGAGGAGGAAACCGAGGCGGTGTCTAAAACTACCAAGTATCATGGCTAGCACACGACAGGTAATCGATGTGTGTTCGCTGATCCAAATAGCATGGCTGTTTCAAGCCTGGAATAAAAGGCACAGGTACCCGTTGCCCCCCGCCCCCCAGGGAAGCGCTCCGGGACGCGCAGGAGCGGGTGGCCTCAGTGCACAGCACAGTTCTCCCAGGTTGTGCCTCTGACTCACTGTCTGCGTGTGGGGGCGTCTGGACCTCCTATTCCCTCTAATTGCTGACATGATGATGCAGGGGTGGGTCTTTGTTTTCTATCTATTACTCATAAGTTAATTCCCTTTCCCAGACTGCGGCAGCAGCACTTGTCCCCACAGTAATATCACTGACTCTGGGGATCTTTCCCCAGCACTTTGGAAGATTTTCTCCCAGGCTGATGCTCCACTTGAGCTCGGAGTACTTTAAGTCTTGTTTGTTTATGTTTTTGTTTTTCTGGACCCATCTTTCTAAAGAATAGGAAAGTCCAAGGAAGCTTCCTGGAAGAACTGAGATCAAAGCAAGCTCTGAAGGACAAATATGTTGAGCATACACCCAGAATACAGAGAAGGGAGCAAAGACCCAGCTGCAGGGAACAGCACAGCATTTGGGAGTCTGAGGTGCAGCTGGGCAAGGGGGCTCAGGCTGCCACCCAGAACACACTCTGGCAGGGGAGCGGTCTGTGGAACTGCCTGTGCATTACTGTCCCCACCCAGAACTGGAAATGTCATTAATTAACTCCCCTGACCTATGTTCTAAGCAGGGACATGCAAGTGAACAGGGACTGGGACCTCAGCTTCATATGAAGCATACAGGGAGGGAGGGTAAAAGAATTCTAGTCTTTGTTTGTTAAATTAGAAAAAAAAAATGGTTTAAAAAGATTGCAGAATAAAGGGTTAAGGCACAAAATCAATAACATTACTATACATTAACTAAAAACAATCACAAGGTAAATTTTTTTAAGAAAATGAATTTGCAATAGCAACGTAGTCCATAATACACATCCAAATAATAAAAGTGACACAGTGTATGCAAGGCACATATGGAGGGTACCTGATGCTTCACAGAATGACAGTAAAGAAGACAGATAACATAGAGATGGTATTATGCTCAGTGCTGGGAAAATACTTCTAAAATAGTCGCTATTTTCCAATTTTACATAGATCCAATGCAACTTAATAAAGATGCCCCAACAAAGGCTTGTTCTTGGCAAAACTTGATGTGCTTTTCCAAATGTTGTACCAAAGGGCTGAGAACATGAAAACAGGGACAAGAAAAGCCTTCAAAGGGATTCGGCCTACAAGGTATTGGGGAGGACCATAGGGCTGCAGGTGAAGGCAGACGTCCTGGGGCAGTGGCAGGTACCCACGAGGCCAAGTAAAAAGAGCCCAGAGGAGCCGTGTGCACATCAGGGGCTGGAGGGGTGATAACCATGAGCATTCGACAGTACCCAGGACAAGAGGTCACAAGGGGCAGAAATGACCCGCCAGCTCCCACCACAGGCAAACAGATCCCAAGCAGACCGAAGTTCTACCTAAATATGAGAGCATGGCATTATAATCTTAGATGAACAGAGAAAGATTCCTCAAATGACTTACAAGATATACAAGACATAAAAGACTAAAATGTTTGGTTGAGTTAAAATGAAGAACTTTGGTATAAAAGAAAACATTAAAAACCAAAGAAAAACTAAGCCACTTTGGAAAAGGTGTTTGCACTACCTTAAACTAACAAGGATTAGAATCCTGGACTCATAGAAAATTCCTATAAATCAATAACAAATGGCAGTAGAAAATGAAGCACAGGGCAGAAATTCACCTTGAAACTGGAGGGAACCCACTGGCCAATAAACAGTGATGGCTCAATCCAGCTGGTGGCCAGAGAAGCAGAGATGAGCCTCAGACACTGTCTCCCACTTGCCCCAGCGGAACAGCAAGACCTGTCCCTGCAGAAGCACTGGTGGGACCTGCATCAGCAGGAGACGTGGAATCTTGTTCACAGCCAGGAGGATCACCATCAGCACGCCTCCTTCAGCGAGGACTGTGAGCGCCCAGGGCTGTTGCCCATGAGACCCCCCTGCCTGACGTTTTACTTCTGGCATGTGCATCTTGGGGCGACTCAGAAGACAGCAGGGCACTTCCAGAAACATCTGCCACAGTGTCATTTGCAAAAGCAGGGGACTGCTTCTGAGGAAGTGCTCGTCGGCAGGAAGATGGGCGCCCTGGGACAGCCACAGGGCTGCAACCTGACACAGTGAAAACAAATCCAGAGCAGCTGCCCACCAGGAATGCAGCTGTGTCAGTAAGGCTGGCAGGGCTTTTGAGAAGACACTGTGGACGTGCATGTCAAATGCTGAAATATGTTAAAATATTCAACATTGTTTGTAAAGATCAAATTCGGGATAAAGGCCATTCCTGCTGAGTGAAAAAAAAAAAAAAAAGTGGCTCAGGACAGGGCACAGGGCATCCGTGGTGCACGTAAAGCAGCAGCAAAGAGTCAGCAGAGCGTCGGCATGGCTGTTAACTGTTGTCCTGTGCGCTCTCTTTGTTTCTTACAACAAAAACGCTTTATAGAAAGTGTCCCATAAGTCACTTAGACTACTGTCTCAGCTTGGGTTTTGCATAGAAAGTGAAGCCTGAGAAAAGCCAGGGCTCCGAGGAGAGGGGCCAGGGGAAGGTCGGTGCATGCAAGTAGAGAGGGGGAGGTGGGACAACAGCACACTGTGTCGCCCTGTGCGTGATGGAGCTGGCCCTGGAGGTGATCTCACAGGTCCCCGGAGGCAGAGTGCAGACAGCAGAAGATGTGGAATTCTTGGGAACTGTGCACCTGAGTCACAGAAGACAGGACAATTTATCCACTGACTCCTGACTGCACTGGTCAAGGTCTTCCTTGGGGATCAGCTCTCATACTTCATGCATGCTGTGCAGAGAAGATGCCCATGGTCATCCAGTTCTGTAGCATTTAGAACATTCCAGAAAGCAAGAGTCCCTTGGCACTGTGGAGGCAAGGTGCTCTCTCAGGTAGCACTTGCAGAAATCTGGTTGCTGTGGCAACAGGGAGTGTAAAAGGAGGCTGTGGCATGCAGCGGGCAAAGACCCATCTGATTCCAGTAGGTGTGAAACCTAAGTGCACCTCTGAGAGCAGGAATTTAAGGGTGATT